CATGTGCCCTTGACTGGAATTGAACCCGGGACTGGACCCTTCAGTCTGCAGGCCAATGCTCTATCCACTGAGCCAAACCAGTTAGTGCAATGCAGCAATGAATTTCCTCCATAGATAAAAAAAGCACTGTAGATTTTAAATTTACCCCTGAATTATTTGTAAAAATGGGTTAATTGACATTAATTGCTGAAGACGCTTGGAGTTAGAAGTGACTTCAAACTTAAATGACTTCATTTTCAGCCAATATCTGCCTTGGATTTTGGGGAATAAAAAATTCATCCCCAGCTCTAACCGGTTTGGCTCAGTGGATAGAGCATCGGCCTGCGGACTCAGGGGTCCCAGGTTCGATTCCGGTCAAGGGCATGTACCTTGGTTGCGGGCACATACCCAGTGGGGAATGTGCAGGAGGCAGCTGATTGATGTTTCTCTCTCATCAATATTTCTAACTCTGTCCCTCTCTCTTCCTCTCTATAAAAAATCAATAAAATATATTTAAAAGAAGTTCATCCCCAAATGATGATAATTTAGAACTAAATTTTTGGAAAGGTGAATAATAACTACCATTTGAATGCTTCATAGGAGCTGTGCTATTTGCTCCATTTTTATCTTTAAACTAGAGGCCCAGGTCCCTCAGCCTGACCTGTGGGATCGGGTGAAACCAGCTCTCCGATCCCCCAAGCGGTCCTGATTGCGAGAGGGCGTAGGCCAGGCCTAGGGATCCCACCAGTCCACAGTCAGGGTGGGGAGGGACTGCGGGTGGGCTCCAGGGCATGTCCGGCCAGTTTTGCTCAGTCTGGATCCTGATTGGCCGTACCCCCGGCAGCAAGCTAAACTAATGGTCGGAGGTCTTCCCCCTGGTGGTCAGTTCACGTCATAGTGAACGGTTGAGCGGCCTTAGTATATCATTAGCATATTACACTTTGGTTGGTTGAATGGATGACTGGACACTTAGCATATTAGGCTTTTATTATATAGGGTACCATCTCAACCCATTCTTCAAGGTACATGGAATTATTTTCTTTTTGCAGAAGAGTAAATTGGCTGGGTGGCTTGCTGAGGTCATACTGCTTTAGTTTGATACTAGGTTTGCTTAGGAGTGCCTATTGTTAACTAGATACAACAAATTAGGGCAACAGTATCTTCACTGCTGTCATCCTAGTCTAAGGTATTCTTCAAAGAATCCTCCTAGTTAGTCTCACTGCTCTTTATTGCTTCTTTGCAGTTTGAACCATTCAGCAACATAGATTAGATCACAAACATTCCAATGCTGAAAACTCTAATAATGGTTTCCAGGAGAGGTCCTATCTTCTCAAGTTTCTTTTTTTTTTTTTTCAAGTTTCTTCTTAACCTTTCTCCTCTTACTCTTTATTATCCTTCCATCCATACTTTGCCATTTTTGTCCTGCACATAAGCTCTATTTCCATCTCAAGGTTACCTTCTGCTGTCCTGCTTTTTAACACTTCAACCAGTTATCATGACTGCTGCCTTCTTATCAAGTCTTCTTAGAAGGCCTTTCTGACTTTGAGCACCAAGCACCCAGTTGCCCCATAATGGTATTATGAACTTGATAAAATAGAATGCTTAGATGTACTTAAAATTATTTCTTGACTGTGTAAGTTATTTGCTTATGTCTCATCATCAGGATATAAGCTCTTTTCCCCCTCTGTATTCCCTGACATTTATTTCTGTATTTTAAAAAATACGTTTTTATTGATTTTAGAGAGAGGAAGAGAGAGAGAGAGAAACAGTGATGTGAGAGAGAAACATTAATCGGCTGCCTCCCACACGCACCACTTTTCCTGACCAGGAATTGAACTAGTGAGTCTTCAGTGTACAAGATGGTGCTTAACGAACTGAGCCACATTGGCCAGGGCTGTGTTCCCTGTCAGAACAGTGCCACTATGCAGTAGATCCTGGATAAATAACCTGACTGGCAGGCCAGTGTCATCTAATCCATTATTTATGATCCTAGAATTTATAATATTCCTGTATTATCTGTGGGCCATTTTTCTATTGAAAGGTTTTCTAGTTTCCATTTGCAGTGATTTATTCTACCGTATTTGCTGGCGTATAAGACGATTTTTTGGCCCTGAAAAATATGCCTCCAAGTGGGGGTCGTCTTATACGCCAGGTACACTTCAGATAGACTGCCCATAGTGCTTGCCCCGTGCCATAGTGGCCTCCCGATGCCCGCCCACTTCATTCCACATACCGTTCAGGCCTCAGCAGCGCTGCTGGGTGTATGCTCGGCTGTTATGCGATTTTGTTGTTATGCGATTTTACCACACTCGCAAAATCGCACACAGCCGACCATACACCCAGTATGATAGCGCAAAATCGCGAATCGC